TTTTCTGCTTACTTTTATACCACTAATATGATATTTAATTATTATGATACTTTAATATGCTTTAACTCCTAGAACAAAAATGTTCCTTCCAATTATTCACCTAATGCTTTGAATATTTGTTGGTATTCTTTTCTGTTTATATTTCTAGATGAGCTATATAGAACCACTTCATCATCCCAAAAATCCTATTGGGATTTTTATTGAAGTTGGGTTAAAACTTCTACAATAATCTTTTATTGAGATATCCTACTTTTCTTCATGTAAGTTCTATTCATATAAATATTCCATGTATTTAATAACTTTTATGGGCACTATGATCATCTTTATCCTTTTATAAGGCATAAGAAATGGTAACATTTCCCTTAAACATTTTTACTGGAAAGAAAAAAATCCATCAAATTTCTATTGTTATACTGTCATCAATATTGAACCACAGAGACAGATCATTTAAGGAGACTAAGATTTTCAACAATTTATAGTATCCAATAAGTCCTCCTGATATAACAATTAGTGTTGTACCTCACATTAAGAAATATTAGCATATATACATATACTTTGAATGCAATTGCAAAATACTTTCATATCCCAAAGTAGAAAATAATTGAGAATAAATGTTTTCTGGATAAAACAGATATAAATCTGCCAATGACACCTACGCAAACTTTGTTTAATTATTGAACTACTACTATTTTGCCAGCGTACTCGTCTGTGCTTAAACATGGATATATGCATCAATATAAATAAGGGAATATTTGAAACTCACTGACATTCATTGTTTATAATATAAGCAGCAAAAAAAAATACTATTTTCAGTCAAAGCAGGGAAATATGAATTTATGTGATATGCTTCTTATAGGGCTGTTTTTTTTTTTTTTTCATAATTGACACCAAAGGGAGGGGGAAACAGCTATTAAATTTCAGGTAGGCAATGGCTACCACGTTCATAAAGTAACCATGTTTTTCATTTGAGACTTAGAGCAGTCTCATGAAGGCTAACAGATGACCATTGAATGTGTTTATTGGAAAGAAGTAAATGAAAGAGCAATTTGAAAAAATAGCATGAGATTTTTAGAGAGGTTTTATTATCTTGAAACAAATGATGACAAAATACGATGAATTCTTGATAACCCATCTCTGTCTGAGGCCCTCAATAAACAGAACAGTTTTTATCAAGTCTACCTCAAATTGTTCTTGCCTCAAAGCAGCCCATTTCTTCTTACTGAATTTCTAGTGAAATGGTAGTGAAATATATAACTTATTCTAATGATTCATATATAGTGAGTCACTCCCTTGGTTTTGATTCAACACAACAACATGGCTTTGTCGTCTTGTGGATTACCCAGACTGTGTTTCAGATTAGTAGGCGAATTTGCTACTGCAAAAAACAACGGAAAAAGTTCCACCCCCTCGCATATTTTTAAGCTGACACTACTTTGTCGTAAGATTAAATAACTGTATATGTAATAATATCATAGTGTATGTTTTGGTATTTTAAAATAAAAAACTTAACTACAGTTTAAATGTATCCAATGGAATCTAAAAAATACAATGATTTTATATCTACATTATCCATTTTTTAAAAAATGAATTCTTTAACAAAACTTTCATATTTTTTAAACGCTCTGAATTTGAATATAAAATCTATTTGCCCCAAAGAATTTTATTCTAACATGACATGCTCTTTTACCTGAAAGATACTTACTGACTACCCATAACATCTCCAATGAAATAAATATATATATATATGGCAACTGAAAAATAATTTCCTTTGACCAAATAATTCTAAGTGCCTAAAAAAAATTTTTCTTCTGGATCATATGCTCGCTGTAATCATTATTACTACAAAGTTAATCAAAACAAAATAAATTTATTACACAGTTTTACAAACAATGAAGAAAACATATCTCTTAATGAGACAGAAATATTTTTGTCAATTAATTTATAATTCATTGAATGGAAAGTTACTGGTAGAATGAGCAGAACTGGACAGAAATTAACAAAAAAAAGAGAAAGTATTGTCCATATATTTGCAGAGTTACTTTAAGGTGTATGTAGAAGAAATAAACAAGAAGAGGTCAATGAATAGCAGCAAGAAGAGCATTTATACTGAAGTAATAAAAAAAGATGTGGATTTAGATTATCAAATACTCTTTATTTGCAAAAAGTTAATGAAAGTAGCTTCTAAATGACTGTTTGACAAAACATAAAGCACTAACATCCCCATAGAGTATTTTCCTTCTATGTCAAGGTAGAACATGGATTTGAGAGGAGCAAACAAAACCTTTCAGCCCCTCTTCCTCCAGTATGCCACTGAGTCTCCAAATTTCTCCTTGTTTCTGAATGGGGTGAAGTGCTGTTAGCATGTGCTCCATAGAAGACTATTTCTCAACTAGTTTCTTTCTAAAAGTCTTGCATGTTCTCATTCTAATATACGTCAATGGCTAAATTTAGCCACAGAGCACTACACTAAGCTTGCTGCTTGGAATAAAACAAGGTGCCCTTGCCTGTGGTATTTCTGACAGATTTACTTTGCTCTCATTGAACATTTCTTGAGGCACAATATATTCTTTGGTAATAGTTGGGGAGTGGGGAAGGGAAAGTTTTTAACAAAAAAATGGATATGATTCCTGCTGCCCACCTATATAGCCCTTGAATTAAGAACCCCAACACTGGTTAAGATATTCTATCTCTAGTGTCATATGTTGTCCTTAAAATAAACAAATACAAAAAATGAGAGGGGAGACATCTAAAGTTTTTAAAAAGAGTCCAATATTTTACTCAAGTCCAGTATTTTGAGCTGTGTGTCTGTCTTGCACCACTAAGACAAAGTTCCACAGGAAAACTCAAGATGGGGAGGGAAATACCTCGCAAAATGGAGAAATAACACAAAGAAGGTAGAAAGAGAACTGGCAGGTGCCATACAAAAGCATGTTCTCAAGTAGCTCAATTTCAGAAACCACACACATGGAAACAGAAGATCTAGAAACAAATCCTCTACCACTATCCACGGCTGTGTACCCAAGTTTCAGGATGGCCATTATAGACCCGTATTACTACTACTAAAAAGTAGTTCTGGAAGAACAATCTGTATTCTTATAAATCCTATTCCTTTTTCCCCATAGTGCACAAGTCATTAAGACATTTTTTTTTTTTAGAAACCTCTGAAGTGGCTTTTACTTATTCTCATTTTACAGATGTGAAAATAATGTCAAATTGGTCAGAAAACCTTTCCAGAGTCATACAGATAATCAATTGAATAGAAGTATTTGGACTCAAGTCATTTGCCATGAGGGCCTCATTTCTCATATATGATTCTCATTTCTAAATTTAATATTTTCCCTTTCTTAGACCCCTCCTAACAAACCAAAATCTACTGTGGTGTAAACAATAATATATAATATTTACTAGAATTTATTAATGAATTGGTTTGGGGTCTGGAAGTATTCTTTTTTATAAAGACATTAGAGCCTTTTAATACAATACCACAACTGAAGCATGATAATCCCCAGTTTGTGGATATTGAAAGTGGGGCTAACAGGACACTTACCAAGGTCAGACCACTAGTGATAATTGGTTTTATTCAAACCTAGCTCTGTCTGATTACTCCCATATAAGAAGATTCCCTAGTAATACAGACTTCAAGAAGTAGACTGAAAAGGGAGGTCACAAAGTCATCTCTACAAAGGGCAAGATAATAGACATGATTAAAGCAAATATAACATTATAAGGTGGAGGGACAAAACTGAGAACCAGCGAGGCTGTGCCTTTAACCAAGGGTAGTGGTAACCAGGCAAACAGTCCTCTGTGGGGCTAGGCCTTCTGACTGGTCACATAGGCTGGAAAGACAATTTTTATATAAAACGTCACAATTGTTAAATGCTGACAATCAATAAGATATATATGTTGTCTTTACACACACACGCGTGCGCACACACACAAGTATTTAGATGGTTTTTGAAATAAACACAGCCACATTCTGGACAGGCTGAATGGAGTTCATAGATGGCCAGATTTTAACCTCTGAAGTAGATTGTGAGAGGTGGGCTATGCCCCATTTTCAGAAGCTCATTATTCTATTTAAATACCTCTATTTTGTGATCTTATATCTCTGAATCATATACAGTGTTGTAAACCAATGTTGCCTCAAAAAATAAAGTATCTCTATGCAATCAATTCCCTCTCTTCATTTAAATGAGAACATGGTATAGCTGACTTATGTTGACTTTGGGGGATCCTGGATTTTTTAGGCCATCACTAATTCTGCATCCTAGTCATAATCACAGCATTTAGTACAATAATCCTCACATAGAATGGAGGCTAAATAGATAAAAACCTGGAAAGATCTTGAGCATTGCAGGGAGCTACTGAGGCTAGCAAACCTGGTGAAGTCACACCTTAGCTGTAAAGCTGATCTCTAGCTTCCCCCCTCAACCCAGCCTTTGTCTCTGCTCCCAGCATCTAAGTCAGTAATGTAGCCCCAAGCTACAATAAATAAGTTCAATAAATTTTTTTGCTGCTGTGTAAATACTCATAACCCCACTTTTTCTAATTCCAACTTTCTACATTAGCCTAAGAAGTTTTTGTTTACTGCTCAGAGCTCCCAAAGTGACTGATGGAAAAAAAGATCTCTGTTTAAACTTTGTGTGCTCCTTAGGTACAAACAATGCTGGTGGGTGGGGCTGTGGTCATCAGAAAGCAATTTTATCACACTGAAGCTGCTACTTGCATTCCTCTGTAACTATCACTTTTCTGGTCTGGTAATTTCACTAACAAGCTTATTTTCACAAATATAATGATAGACTTCCTAGGGGTAAATATGGCCTATATATCAGAATAGTAAATCACATTCTAATTACATGTTCAAATCTATTCCTTTATTCCTTAGCACATTACAAATTCAATCCAATATTTTCACCTCCTTGTGCTACTATGGCCAATAAGACAAAAAATTCTAAACACATCAACCTGAAATGGAATCTTATTTTCAAGCAATCAATTACTTATATTCGCTGGTGTAGGTGGTGAGCTCACTGTCATTGAGCATCCACTTGAACTCCAAAGGCCAGCTCCCTTCAGCAAGGCAAGTGAGAACAAGGCGGTTTCCTTCCAGATGGATCTGTGGTAGGCCTGGCTCCGTTTTAAAATATGGCACAACATCATCTGAAATAGAGAGAGAGGAAGAAACTGAATAAAATACACATGAAAATGGCATTTATCTAATTAATCAATCACTTTTTAAGACTAATTTTAAAAAGTAGACATGATCACTACTTGGCCCAATCAAGCAACAAATAATTCTGAACCTCCTAGAAATATGCTATACCCTAGACATTTCAACAGTCTGAAAGCTCAATGATAACACCATTTGAAAGCCTCTTAAAGGTCTCACTCCCTAAGTAACTTCCATTCATGATCAATACTTGTTTCTCAAAGGGGACGATTGGGCAATCTGTGCCCTCACAAGATGCTGGTTTTAAGTAGCATTCTATTCTCAAAGTACAACCAAGGTATACACAAAGGTTCTAATAGAGAAATTTTCTCATATAAGCTTCAACTGGTAAAACAAAAGAAGTAGTATAATTAAGGTTAACATACAAACATAAATGAACCACAACCTAGTATTTATTACATACACATACACACACACACACACACACTTGTCTCTTTCAGTGACTTTCAGTGTGCTATAGAATTGGAATCTGTGAATATTCATATAAGGGAAAGTGACACAGAAATGAGAATGAACCAGTCATTGCTACATACAACACATACCACAATGAACTCACAGACAAATGTGGTAGAAGATTATTGGTGCTGTGATGGGGGGCATGGTGTGATAACATATATTTGTAGAGGTGTGAACCTATAACCCTAAACGTGTGTTATAAATCAACATTATTACCTCAATAGACATATTTAAAACAACAACAAAAAAGTTTATATAAGTTGAAAACCAGGAAAACTACTCTGCTAGCAATCGGGATGGGAGATGGAGAAGGCAGGGTGATAACAGGGCAGCTTAGGGAGGGAAAGACAAGATCTATTTCTTGATACAATTACACTGAGATATTTACATCGTAAAAATTCACAGATTTCCCCATAAGATTTGTGCAACTTATATATAAGAACATAGTATACTTAGCTTCTAGTTCTAACTCCACCACTAATTAGCTTCATGACCTTGATCAGGACATGTGGGTTTATGTTTATTCATCAGTAAAATAAACAAAACTGGATAACTTCTCATTTTTCTAGAAAATACCCAAGGTACACCTGCATAATCTGCTTCCTGTCTAGCTTTCAGGCCTTCTACCCAATCTGCTTGCTCACAAACACCCTAGCCACACTCAACTTTTTCACTCTCTATCAGGCCTTTCTGACCTCAGGCCTTCACTTGATCCTTTCCTTCTAGCACAGAGCATGCAGATCACGTTCATTCTTCAAGCTAAATGAGCCTCCTCCCCACCAATACATACTGACAAACCATGACATTTATTTCATTCAGTAATTATCAGATTTTGAAATGAGAGTGTTTATGGATTACACCAGTGCATCCCCATCCTCTAGTTCAATCACTTCTAAATTTCCAGCACCTAGGGCAATGCCAGAAACAAACCAGATATGAATAAATACTTGTTTAGTGTATAAATATAATAAAAATGATATAAATATAAAAATATTATATAAATATAATAAAAGACATGCTCTGTGCTAGGCAAGTTCTTTGCAGAAGGAAGCCACAGTAACAGACAGTATTCACTGAGGATTTACTACGTGCTGAGAACTGTCCTAAGGGCTTTATATATACTACCCCATTCAATTCTCACAAAAGCCCTATGGAGCACATGCAATTATGTACCCATTTTACAGATGAACAAAGAGAGGCACAAGGAAACAAAGCAACTTACTCAAGACCACCCATATAGTAAGTGGTAAAATCATGATTTAAAACCCAGATCATCTGCTCCAGGATCTGCCAATCTATGTATTACGATTCTAAATGTCATACCTTTCTCAACAAGGAAAATTTCTTCTCAAGAATCCATATCTTAGTTTTAAATTTTTTATAAGTTTGTGTAATTACTAGAGTTTTAAGTGAAAATTACTATATTTTAGGTAAATTAAGCACCAACTCTCATATTAACAGTGTTAATATTGAGACTGTATTTTTACATTAATCTCATACATATAGGCGGTCTCTTTTGTATGGATTAGATAGAATGCAGTATGCAATTTATTTTGCCAGTATGCTGATCACTGTATTCCATTACTAGTATATTGGTAATACAATATTACCTCTCTTTTAATAGTATTCATTTTTTTATTCCAATAAGTAAATGTTAAAGTGCATCTGTGAGTGTGGTAAGGGCTATAATAAGGAGATGGCTGGTCAATGAAATGGCATTCAAGAGCGAAGAGCTGGAGGATCAGTGGGCACCCAGGGGCAAAGTCCCTGTGGCAGAAGCAAACATGGCAAGTAACTACGGAAGTATAAAAAACTGGAAAACAAGTAGGGCTGTAGATGCAGAGAGAGTGAACGGAAGCAGGGTAGGCAAAGGCACAGCCTTGTTTCACATTATCCCTGTGTGACTATCAATGGTGATCTTCCACATTCAAAGTGTTCTCATGAGAATAAATTATATGAACACTTTATTTATGGGCCTTCACCAAAAAAACTGTCAGCATTATGATGACAATGACTTGCTAGTATTATATACAAAAAACAGGACACCTTTGAAGGGTCTGTGTTGTTAAAAGAGCATTCCAGGGGCACCAGGGAGAAGGAATTAAAGAGGGATCAGAGTAGAGGGAGGCCAGTTAGGAGACCACTCAGTGATACAGGCTAAATGATCCAAAAGGTTAGGGTTAGGGTTCTGGTTAATTTGACCAAGGTAACATTACTGATTGTGGTAGTGGACATGGAGAGAAATACATGGCTTTAAAACAATAATGAGGAGGCACAAAAGTTATATTGATGATGAATACTGGGTGAAGGAGAGGAAGGGGTCAGGAAGGAGTCTTAGATCTCTCACTTGTATAATTTTCTGCTCAATGAATATGTGTTACTTCCGCAATCAGCACTAGGAGTACAAAGACAATTAAGACACGGTTGCTGTCTCATAGAGGTTATGGTCTAGGTCTGATGCAGGAACAGAGACAGTAAAGGGTTAGATGCTGGGGTGACCAAAATATGTAACTCAAAGGCAAGAGCAGTCAGTCCTTGCCCTGTTTGTAGAGTTCCACCTGCCTCTGCTGCATGCCACATGTTCCAACCTATAATTTCAAGTGCATTCTTAAGTTTTGATTGTCAACCATGTGTCCAATTTCCCTTTTTGCTAAAATCCTCCACTCTTGTGACCCAAACAGTCTAATAAAGCTGACTTGCAGTGGATATAGCTTTGATACCTTGGAATTTACTGAGCTACAGGCTTTAATAATGTCCTGCCATTTGCACTATATTTAACAATAGAAAAAGAAATGCCACTTCAGATGGTTCCAGTGTCGTACAAGAATGAGTCATAAAAAATACATCTTTTTGAAAAGAAAAAGCGTCAAGATAGACGCTCAAGAATTTGAATTTGGTTTTACAATTGACAGAACATCATCAATTTAAAATATTATGGGATGACTTTGAATTTAAATGACACCATAATTCAATATTTTTACAGAATTCATGCCACTAAACATGCCTATACTATGTACAAATTATGCAAGGCACTGTGATCTGGTAGGAAAAGACATTGTCATAAAGAATAGTTTCATAGAGCTGGCAAGCAAATATCTTACAATCCAAATGATTGTAGAATAGTGTTTAGCACAGATGCTAACATAAGAAAAAGGGAGGGCAAACATGTCAATGCACTGGAATTTTAAGTGCCTAATTTAAAATTATTACCACAGGTATTATAATATAGATTAGCCAATATACTAAATACCATAGCTATATCTCTGAGTCTAGTTGTATTTACCATTGAAATACATATAGTAGGTCATGACATTAAAAGAGGACATAAAGGTAGCAAAACCAAAAGCTTTAGGAAGAATGAGAGCAAAAGAGACAAAAAATTAGTATGCAGGTCTACACGGACCCCTACAAAAGCATGAGATCTTTATATATATAAATGGGGACAGAAAAAATTCTGAAAAGATCTATAAAGACAAAAATGATTGAGTTATCTGTGAGATAAGATTATTAAAATTTGACCTAAGGAAATGCAAATGGTCCACTTAACACTCTTTGAGAAGTGTGTGTGTGTGTGTGTGTGTGTGTTGTGGTATGTGTGTTTTTCCAAAGAAAATTAGACCTCCCCTTCCTCAAGAAAAATGAGCAGACATTTAACTATGTTTCAGTATTCTAACAATGAACATTATAAGACCCTGGAATAAATTACTAAGGAAAACTGTGAAATTTCCATTTTCACATACTTTTAAATGGAACATAAATCATTTATGAAAGAGAGAATTTCGTCTGTCTGGATAATACAGATTTAAGGTCCATCCAAAGGAGAGGAATGGACTTAATGTTCTCTCAAGACAACATCATAATTTTATGATGTAGAAGTCACTTCCCTAAATGGACTTTTAAGGTTTTTAGATATAAAGTAAATGGATTTAACTTTACCTGTCCAATGTGGAGATAATTTTCTGTGCTCATCTAAAAAGGAACCATGACCCATTTGCCACAGTAAAAATCATTTACATGGGGAACAGCTGGAGGAAAAGCTCTGAAGCAGAGCCATGTGCTGTGGTTCGAGGTCTTTCTTTCCACTCTGAAGAGGGATGAACTGCCATGGGTTCTAATTATCTGCTTCACAGTGGAGAATTCAGGACCTATTCCTAGAAACTCCTTAACAGCAAGAACAGGCAGACATTAACTATAGATACCCAAAAGGTCAAGCTTCCAGTTATTTTTGTGCCTCTGTCGATGAGAGACCTTTGGCTAAAATAATGGCAATCTGTTCATCAATTTCCCCTTTTCTCCTCCATTTCAAAGTTACAATAAATAAGGAAATAATAATAAATTTCTACTTAGCAGAGGAATCAATTGTATCATAAATAAGGGAGTCTGAGCATGGGTCCCCACATGTCTGGAGTGATATGGAAAATCATCGTAATCAGCACCCTCCATCAGGTGAGCGTCCAGCAGCAGGATTAGGAGT